TTCTATAAATTCTAGAGATAAGTCCCTTGTCAGGTATGTCATTACCAAATACTTTTTCCCAATCTGTAGTTTCTCTTTTGACTCTTTTGGAGAAGTCTTTGGAAGCACATAAAAATTTAATTTTTAGAAGGTCCCAATCATCTGGTTTCTCTTCTGCTGAAAAATTTGTTACTGTTAGATTTCACCCATAAAATTGTTTTAATGTAAGTATGAATAAAATATGTGGAAATAGAAAAGTAGAAAAACGGTATACATTATTGAAAATATGCATATAGAACAGGTAATATACTAATAAGACAATACTCTCTTGCAGATTGATAATAAATGCTAGTCCATGGACCACGTTTTAAGTAGTACTGCTTTTTTTTTTTTTTTTTGCACTAGACAGTGAGCTAAATCACATTTTGTTTTATATTGGAGAAGAAAGAATTGCCCTTCCTGTCCCATTTCTCAGTTTATAAAATGATTTGAAGGGGAGCTCTGCTAGCATAGTGCCTAAGGCATTTGACTGCTAACCAGAAGGCTGGTGGTTCAAACCCACCAGCCACTCCTGGGAAGGAAGATGAGGCAATCTACTTCCGTAGTGATACTGCCTCAGAAACCCAAGGAGGGGTCACTATGAGGTGGATCTGACTAGATGGCACATGACAACAACAACAACAACAAGGTGAATTGAAGATTTTCCTAACAGATTTTACACATAAAAGTGTCGATTTGCATATCTAAAGACGTTTTAGCCACCTCACTCTGGGACTTTAATCTTATGTTTGGAGTTTTAACTGATTCCTTTCTTTGTAATCTGAAATGTGTTCTCCATATTTAATGTTATGAAGCAAAGATTACTAAAAGCTTGGGAGCTGGTAATAGTAAAAAAAGTTACAAATTTTGTGGCATAAATTGTTTGGAATTTGTTATATTTCATTTTATATTATTTATCTGTTGAGAACCTCAGAAATGCACTTTTTAAAAAATTGATAACTGATTAAATGTTATTTTAATTTCCTCATTTACTCATAAAATTTGGTTAACATTGTGTTTCACAATTGAACTATGAAGCTTTAATCTGATTTTTAAGAGTTTCTTCACAGGCATGTTTGAATCTGTTCTAGTCTTTATGTGAAGGCTTATTGATATTGAACACCACTTGTGTTCCTGGAATGCTTCAGAGATTATTAGCATTTGGCTTGAAAGTAGTAGAAAATGATATTTAAATCTTATTGAGGATTGCTTGACGTAGATTAAATACCATTGTACTCAGTATGAATTCTTTTTCATAACAGTTCTTTTGTTTGTATGACTTCAAGCAAATAAATATCAGTGGATAGAGATTTAAATTCTAATTAAAAAAAATTATTTCTATCTAACCCAAATAAATAACTTTAAAAATGTGTTTATGGAAGTTATTTTTCGTATGAATTTTTGTAAGTAACATGTATCTTGGTGGAAAGAAATGCATACCATTTTTGTCGATTTTCCTCTAGGGTAATTCTTCTCCTGAAATTACTTTTGGATGGAATTATGCTCTTTTCTCATTAGAAGATGGTAATCTTGGAGAATGACCATGGAGAAGGGGATGAGTTCAGGAGAAGGGCTGCCTTCCAGATCATCTCAGGTTTCGGCTGTTAAAGTAACAGCCAAAGAGCTGGAAACAAAGCAGTCCAATAAAGAGAAACGAGGGGGCTTTGTGCTGGTGCATGCAGGTAAGCCCTTAAGTAGGTGAGTAGGAAGATGAAAATAATGTTTTTTTTTTTTTTTTGCTTTTCTTTTTCTTGTCTTGAAGTATACTGAGAATTGATTTTCATATGTAGAAGAGGCAAAGTGCCAAAGCAGGGTTGGAACCAAAAAGATGGTTTGACTTCACTATAGGGAGAACCTCTCCTGTTCCCCAGTTGGAAGATTGTATAATGGCAGCTCTTCCTATGCCTTCTTCATTTCCATCGTCCATTATTTATTTTTAATCCATATGGTATCAAAGGAGCTCTGGTGGCACAGAGCCTAAGGCATAGAGCCTTGACTGCTAACAAGAAGGATGATGGTTCAAACCCACCAGCCACTCCGTGAAAGGAAGATTGGGGCAATCTACTTCCATAGTGACATTGCCCCGGAAACCCAAGGAGGGGTTGCTATGAGTCAACTTGAGGGCAGTGAGTTATAGTAACACATGTATTTAGGTAGTGTTAAAGCCTGACAAAGTAATATTTTAAACTCTGGTTGTGGTTTTAAATGTTGCTGAAAAAATTTTATTGATCCCGTGTTAGACTGTAGCCATTTTAGGGTATAATTTTACACAGTCTTACAGTTAACCCTCTTAATATTATAAACAAGAAACTTTAAGACCATGGAGATTAAGTGACTTTTACCACAGAACTAATTTTTGGTACTGGAGCCAGGCTGAGTAGCCTAGGACCATAAATCCCAGTCTAGTGCTCTTGGTACTACTTAAGCCTGTCATTTCTCTACTTCAGAGGACCACAGGACAATGAACTTTACCCCCTGCAACCTTCATCACGTGCTTTTGGGTTTTAGAGCAGTGCAGCCTTGCTCAGGTCTCTGCATAACAGGCTATTTCCTTTGGCCATTTGTATTTGCTGGATGCAGAGTCTGTATACCATTACTTCACTCCTGTGAAAGGAGAAGAAATGACTGGGTCTCCTTTTAATTTTCTTCAGACTGTTAAGCAGGATGGGAGCAGGATTAGTTTTAGTATTGGGTGAAGATTGGAATTATTTCTTCTTGTACAACTTGCATTCTGCCTGGCCATTAACCTTTGGCTATATCTAGACAGGATGGCCTGGGAAGTCTCATGGAATCTAATCTAGAAAGATCTAAAAAATAGGTTCAGTTCTCTTTTCTTACAGGTGATTTTATATAGAAGAAGGCAAATTTATGGAAATAACCCAGTTAGAAGTAGAGCTAGAACTAGAAATCCTGCCTTCATACTGGTAGTCCAGTGTTCAGTGTTCTTTCTGCTACTCTGTTGTTGGTGCATCTTGCACAGAACCTAGTGAATTATGTTACTCAGGAAGCATTTGGAAAGTGTACAAACAATTCTGAAATGTGTAACAAGCAGTAATGTAGTGCTTTTGGTTTGCTAAACATTGCTTTTTGACTACCCTGATGATGTACGACTCTATCATTTCTCTCAGAAAACACAAGGCATGGTTAATGGCTCTCAGGGCAAGTTGCTGCTGGGGCCCATCAGTAGTAGGAAAAAACCTGAGTTATGGCAGGAGATTGTGTAGGTTAAGGTATGGCCCCCTTCCAAGTGATTAGAAGTTCAGATAGAGTGATTGATTATGCAGAGATACGTATCTTACATGTTTAAGGGACGTTCAGTTCCTCATCCAACATAAGTTTTTTTTTTTTTTTTTTTAATTTTTATTGTGATTTGGGTGAAAGTTTGTAGAGCAAATTCATTTTCCATACAGCAGTTCATACACATTTTGTTTCACGGCATTGACTGTAATTCCCCTAATGTAACAGCTTTCTTCCCACTTCCTCCCTATAGTTACTGCTTCCTGTGTCCTTCCATCCCATGCACTCCTGCCTCCCAAGCTATCTCCCTGTGCAAACCCTGCTCTTTTGTTCTCTCATGATAGATCACTCCAAGAAATGTATCTACCTAATGTAAATGTTCACCCCATATGCCTGTCTATTACTTGGCTGGAAGCCACAAGAGTGAGTTGAGTTCTAGGCCTGAAGTATAACTAGGGGCCATAGTCTCAGGAGTCTTACCAGGCGCTATCAGACCAGCAAACCTGGCCCATTTTTTTTTAAATGATTTTGAGTTTTGTTCCACTTTGTTCTCCCGTTCTATCTAGTATCTCCTTCACCGATCCCCCTCTGAGTGGTTGACAGTGGTAGCCGGGCACCATCTAGTTCTGGTCTCATGGTCATATAGGCTGAGGATCACATGGTCTACTAGTTCCTTGGACTAATTGTTTCCATGTGTCTTTGGTTTTCTTCATTCTTCTTTGTTTTGGATGAAGAAAGACCCATCATTGCATCTAGATGGCTGTTTGTAAGCTTTTAAGACCCCAGTTGCTACTCACTAAAGTAGGATGTTTTTGTGTAGTATTTTATGCCACTTGAGCTTCATGTCCACTGCGAACATGGTCCCTAGCCCAGAGGTCCAACTACTTGCTTCCTAGGGTAACTGGCTGTGGCCAAGAGGCTACCACAACCTTGCCCCTTGTCAACTCTACTATGCACCTGGGCACTCTTACAGCTCATACAAATACTCTTGTAGAAACATCATCTGCCAAACCTATACATGGTCATGGGCACACTCCCTTTTCCTGTTTAGACATACCTGATCATTCCATCTGTCTGCTCATCTGTCCACCCATAGATCAATGCTTGCTATCAGTGACAGTGCAGTACTGTACATGCAAAAGGGTTCATCTTTGTTGTCGGTACCTCTCATATACCTCTCTCTGTTTTCCTCTTCCTCAGTGCCACCATGTTGATCACTTACTTTTGGTATATTGCTCTTCCCTTCACTCAAATCAATACTTATCTCTATCTGTCTAGCTGTGTTCCCTTTCCTCCTCTCCCGTCCCTGGTAACAAACAAAGAAAGTTTCCTTCTGTATATAAAATTTTCCTTGACTTTTTACATTAGTTAACTAATACAGTATTTGTCCTGTGATTGACTTATTTCACTCATTATAATATCCTCCACGTTCATCCATGTTATGCAGTGTTTTGCAGATTTAATGTATGGATTTTAAAGCTGTCTTTCTAACACTAGAGTGGTGTTGTTGTTGTTATGTGTCGTTGAGTCATCTCTGACTTAGTGACCTTATGTATACCAGAACGAAAAGCTGCCTGGTCCTGTGCCATCTGCATGTTCCTTGCTGTACCTGAGCCCATTGTTGCAGCTACTGTGTTAATCCATCTTGTTGAAAGGCTTCCCCTTTTTTGTTGACCTTCCACTTCACCAAGCATGATATCCTTCTCCAGGGAATGGTTTCTCTGACATGACCAATATAGGTGAGATGAAGTTTGGCCATTCTCGCTTCCAAGGAGCGTTCTGGCTGCACTTCTTTTTTTTTTTTTTTAAACAGCTCATGAAATTTAGTCTTTCTGATCCAACTTTCTTTCTTTTTTTTTTTTTATTCTTTTTTTTAAATTCATTGTGATTTGGGTGAAGGTTTACAGAGCAAATTCACTTTCTATATAGCAGTTCACATATACTTTGTCTCATGTCATTGACCACAGTTTACCACAATGCAACAGCTCCCCTCTCACTTCCTCCCCATAGTTAGCTCTTCCCAGTGTCCATCCCTCCATACTCTCCTGCCCCCTGAGCTATCTCCCTGTGCATAAGCAGCCCTTCCTTCTCCCATGATTGTTCTCTCCAG